AAGAAATTTCAAAAATAATATTTAAAATAATGCCAATTAATCTTTTCATAATCCGATAAAGCATGAAAATACCTCACAGTTAGTGAATAAATGAAAAAAGCAAACAAATCAATGTGAATTTGGGTAAACAATCGTTTGAAAATGATATTGTTCGGTTCCGTTTGTGTGTGCGAACTCACAATGTGCTGTGTATTAATCATATACTGTCATATTTTTTCACGCTGGTGGCGCACCTAGCCCATGGATGGATGTACTATGGGTTAGCTGAACTATGTAACTGAATGTCAAGTTGGTTGTGTATGAATTTTGACAAAACTTCTGCGGCCATCACCTAGTTGCGCCACATATCACATCGTTCCATGGACATTGTGAGTTCGGTGTGTGTGTGTGTGTGTGGCAGAGTGAGATTTTGATAAAGTAAACATTTTCCAAATTGTTGATTTCAACCGATGGTTTTTTTTTGCTTTCGCATCGAAGGTTTTATATGTTCGCACACTGTTGTCGATTTAAAATGTGTCTTGCAAAAGCGAAACATTCAAATAATACGGTAAATCCGTCAGAGTCATCATATTTTTCTCGTCTACCCTCACACAGCAAGCGGTGGTTTTTCCTCCGATCGAGGACATTAGCATTCGATAAGGGTGCGCGCTACACACACACACAGTAACTGCAGTGTGAAATGCTTGTAGTGTGCATAAAAATACGACCCTCTTCTTTTATGGCAAACATCGAACCTTGTCTTGTTTACAAATTCATTCACATCGACAGAGAGAGAGAGAAAGAGAGAGAGAGAGAGAGAGAGAGAGAGAGAGAGTGTGCATATTACATACGTTTGCGCACGCAATAAATGTTTAAATCGAATATACCATTGTCTAATGCGACGTAATATGAGCGATTAAAATCAAACATTCCTCGCGTATATACGTGAACGTAATTTCACGATTCGTACATCAACATTCGTTGTTGTCGTTGTCGCCCTTCTTTATGGATGGAACAGGTTTCATGAATCGAAGCGACGCCAAACGAAGAAACGGAAGAAAGAGCTCCCTTTTTGTGTGGCAGAAAGAGAATGCACACAAGTTGAGTAGCGTTCACCGCCATTGAATTCACTGATGCAGACGTCATTTGCAATTTGATTTTGAACACCAAAACCATTCACGAAATTAATTCTCTTAGACGCTGAAAATGAAAGCATCGTTCGGGTTTCTTTTTTTATCTTTGGTAAAAAATCCGTTCGCATCACATAGACTGTGTCTATTGTTTGCCTTTGTCAACGAGGAAAAAGCATGATGAAAATCAAATTAAACAACTGCAAATATGTTTGGTGAATAAACATGAGCACGTGACCGTGCGCTGAAAACCTTTGGTATGTAAATTTCTTTGCAAACATTTGCGTTAAAATTGAACGAATGAAAATGTCGAAATGCATCTTTATTATATAAGGTCATTCGCGATATGGAAAATGGGTTTTTGTTATCAATATTGCCTTTCTCTATCAGAAACCGAATACGGTTGATGTGAATATACGAAATCGTTTCCATAATCTGAAAGGAAGAGAAGCTACATCAACGTGTATGTAATATACAAAAACAAAATGTGCCAATTTCGAACAAATCAAAGTTCAATTTCGGTGTTCGAAAAAACATTTGTTCCCAATATCAAATGTGCATCCGACACTGCATAAGAAGAAACAAAATCTATGTCTGATTAGCCATTATTGATTGGCTTCTCATTTTGAACTGTCTGATTACTTTAGTGGGTCAAAACCACTCATCACCCATTGAAAATCCGTTGTAAACATATAAAAAAAAAATCAAAAGTCAGGCGAAATTGTTATCGCCGCCGTTTAATGAAACTCTTGAACTTTCTGCACAAAAATCAGTTCATGCAGTCAAGCGATAGTGAACACAGAAAAAAACATGTGAGATTGAAGAAAATGCAAAGGAATAAAGAAAAAGAAGACTGTATAATTAACGATGATGTGTGTTTGGTATATTTATTTGATATTATGTTTTAGTATTCGTGCTTGAACATTTTTCGACAGACGAATACGGAATTGAATCCAATTATTCTTGAACGCGATATTTGCGTGTACAAACAACATTCTTAACTGTCATTGTTGCGTTCATTTCTTTGTCCGCAAATTCACGAATGATGGTGGATGGTGGATCACCGCTCATTTTATGGGTCAATTTGTTGCCGTCCAATGTAATAACACTCTTCACATCACGACCGTCCAAGGTTGTCTCATCGAATTCCTTGCCCAATTCGAATTCGATCGTTGAATCCTTGAATGTCGATTTGGTGAGCAGCTGGTATTTGCCATCGGGCAGTTTTTTCAATTCAACGGTCGGTGAAACTCTGTTACCGGCCAAACGCGTCCAATATCCAACACCAAGTTCCTTCATGTATTCTTCGAAATTTTCCGATTCATAGTTTTTATATTTTTTTCCTTCCCAAATTTCCGTGGCTACGAGCATGAAAAAAAGTATGGAAAAGAAAATGAGAAAGATCAATAATTTAGAAAAAATACAAGCTTTTATCTGGATTCGTATAAGTCTTAATCATCTAAAGAGTTCGTTGCTAATGTGAAATAAATTCTGTTTTCATTTTGTGGGAAAAATGTGTCCAATATTCAAATTGAAATCCATTATGTAATCAAAATCAATGTACAAACAATGATGTGAAGAGCGGATTTTTTTTTGTTGGAAAGAATGTCTTTTTAAATGGGAATTTCAACACTGAATGCAAATAATTCAAAAGTAATTTGAACATATTTATAAATAATTTAAAAAAAATTAATTTCTCCAATAAAACTCGCTAAATTTCTTCAACTTTTTAACTAAAAAAATTACAATTACCAGAAGCGACTGCTGCTAGGACTACGACAAGAGCGATGATGAACTTCATTTTCGATGCTTTTGGTTGAATAATTGAACAGCAACTGATTTCCTTATTGAAGAATTTACAATAAACTAAGCTACTGCTTTGAAATGAAACTAATTTGAAATAGCATTGATAATATAAACTAATACAGAGAGATGTAATCGAATGTATGTGGATATTTGGTCACCTTGCAGTTTTAGTAGCTTAAGCTATATGTGAAATTGTTTCTCACGTAAGACGTACATGGGATGCAATTCATTGTGTTAGTGTAGCAAATCTGAAAACGCATGCATTTGCAAGGAACTGGTCATTGGGGCCAACGAGATTATCGGGCACACAACAAAAATAAACGAGGAATATCTGATTTGTTGACATGAAGTAGTTGTTGATATTTTCGTTTTATCGTTTACGTTGTACATCCACAGAGAGGAAATTAAGTTGGACGCTAAAAATGAAAACATCTTTCTGATTTTTTTTTCATTTTTGATAAAAGTCCTTTTTCATTGTAACTTTCAAACTGTCTATTGTTTGTTAATTGCTTTTGTCAACATCCTTTTTGTTGAAGGATAAGCATGACGAAAATCAAAGTAAACTATTGGGCACATTTTTTGGTGAATAAATATGGAATCGTGACGAAATTTCATACGTTTAATGAAAGAAAACATCAAAATGCATCGCTAGATCTAGCTCAAACGGCAGCAACCCCTTTTTATATGGGTTGTTTGCAATATATGTGTTTTTTATTATCAACGTCGCGGTTTTCTATCAGAAGCCAAACACAGGTAATGTGAATATATACATATGTATGAACACGTTTGCATAAAAAAAACCTAATGTGTAATTTTCTACCAAATCGAATGTTTAAATTTGTTGTTCGAAAAAAAAAGAACTTTTGCTCTCATTCTCAAAAGTGCACTGAAAAACATCTGTATCTTATTATTAGCCATTATTGGTTGGCTTCTCATTTTGAACAAACGATTTTGTCACTTTTTTCGTTTTGAACTATCTGACTATTTTAGTGAGTGAAGTTTTCACTTCCCCTCATCATTATACCACTCATATCTGACTGAAATTTTCGGAAGTTCATGTTTGGCTCCATTCCCATTCATGTTAATGTTTCACTAAAAAACGGTGTCCGTTTAATGATACAATAATCCAACCAAAGGTTTTCCAACACTGCATGCAATAGCGATTCACAGTGTGATATTCACACTGAGACCGACTTCATCAAACGGTAATATACTTACCGATTCTTATTTGGAGTATGATGCTCCGGCTGTTATTTGCCATCATCCCTTTGTTCTACCGCTTAACGAGGAAAAAAATGGAAGAAATTTCAAAAATAATATTTAAAATAATGCCAATTAATCTTTTCATAATCCGATAAAGCATGAAAATACCTCACAGTTAGTGAATAAATGAAAAAAGCAAACAAATCAATGTGAATTTGGGTAAACAATCGTTTGAAAATGATATTGTTCGGTTCCGTTTGTGTGTGCGAACTCACAATGTGCTGTGTATTAATCATATACTGTCATATTTTTTCACGCTGGTGGCGCACCTAGCCCATGGATGGATGTACTATGGGTTAGCTGAACTATGTAACTGAATGTCAAGTTGGTTGTGTATGAATTTTGACAAAACTTCTGCGGCCATCACCTAGTTGCGCCACATATCACATCGTTCCATGGACATTGTGAGTTCGGTGTGTGTGTGTGTGTGTGGCAGAGTGAGATTTTGATAAAGTAAACATTTTCCAAATTGTTGATTTCAACCGATGGTTTTTTTTTGCTTTCGCATCGAAGGTTTTATATGTTCGCACACTGTTGTCGATTTAAAATGTGTCTTGCAAAAGCGAAACATTCAAATAATACGGTAAATCCGTCAGAGTCATCATATTTTTCTCGTCTACCCTCACACAGCAAGCGGTGGTTTTTCCTCCGATCGAGGACATTAGCATTCGATAAGGGTGCGCGCTACACACACACACAGTAACTGCAGTGTGAAATGCTTGTAGTGTGCATAAAAATACGACCCTCTTCTTTTATGGCAAACATCGAACCTTGTCTTGTTTACAAATTCATTCACATCGACAGAGAGAGAGAGA